GCCCCGGGCACCTCCCTGGGCCATGGTGGGGCCCTGGGCTGTGGGCAGGGTCGGGGGAGCCCTGAGGGGTGAGCAAGGACGGTCAGGGCTGGCGGTGCCCTCGGGGCCGTGACAGCTCCTCTGCTCAGTACCTGCGCTGGCAGGACAAAAGCCAAGGAGGACCTAGAAGATAAGTTTCTTGCAGTAGAAGTCCTTCCTCACATTAGAAAAATAAGTGGGAAATGCTGCAATTGTTGATACAATGCTCAGAGTCCTAAAATTGAATCTGTTCGTACCCCAGACTCTTTATCCCCAGTTTTGTGTACTTTCCGTGCCGTGGCTGGCTGCTTTGCAACTCTTTCCTCCCCACATTCGCAAATCTACTGTTGAGTAACAGAGGGATGACATAATTTCTCTCTCCCCTGCATTTTAGCATAGAGCCTTTTTGGCTGAGTTGCACATGGCCTATGCGTGAAGGGAAACTAACTTCCATCAAAGGAAACCTGACAGTACACAAGCCTGAAGTATTTGTAACCATCCTCATGCCCTTGTCACAACCTGGAAAGGTGGGATACAGTACTCTCTGTCTTATTTCACAGCTGAAAATGAAGTGACTCCATCCATCCATAGCTGAAATAGGAGATTTCTTCTGCTCTTTATTTCCTATACTTTTCCCTAAACAGCTACAACTGTCCACCATCTAAGACAGAATTACATGACCCAGTGTGGCAACTCTTCTGTCTATTAATTTCCTAGACTTAAGCTTGAACTCTCTTTTCATGTGGCTTAGAGACCAACAGCTCTGGCTTTAACTTGCATTTCTTACAGTGTGTAACAAGAGACAGACGTATGCCTCCACCGAACTGGCCATCGTCTGGAGACTTTCCATGGCTCTCATGTTATCTACCATCACACTCCTTGAGGTTTTCTCTTGTGTGCTGGGCCAGGTCAAGGTTATGTTCTCTACAGCTGGAACCTCCCTTGAAGTCTGTCAATGTTGTCAGAGACCCACAAAGGGGAAAGCTTTCCTCTTTATAAATTGTTCTGAGAATCCTGTTTCAATCTCAAAGCTTTCTCTGAACTATTTTCTTAACCCTTGTAGGCATTTATCAGCTTACTTAAGTTCTGATAGGTCATGTGTTCTTACATTACCATCACCATCCTCTGCCAAGTATTTTTTAATTACTGCAATAGACTTTTGTTTGATAACTTTACAGGATTTTTTTTTCCCCAGAAGCTCTCCATAGTACTTTCAAGGGCAGTTCTTTCATAAGTTGATCCTGAGAGATTTATCCACTGAAATTCCAGAAACACTTTTGAGGTCCATAGCTTTTCCTGTCCTGTTTCTATTTTTGCCTACCAGTGACAGATTCTTAGGATTGCTTGTCAGCGGACAGAGCAGAAAAATAGACACATGAGCTCTAAAGACTCAGTTTGTGTCAGGAGCCTGAGCCTGCAAATGCTTCAGCACACAAACTCAGTAGACATTGGTATGACTGAAGTTGTCACGTGCCACAGGTTCTAATGAACTGGACTTCAGATTTGCCTCTGTTGCAGCCAGATCAGATGGTCACTGTAGCTGGGCTCCCCTGGCCATCAGTGATTGCTGTGTTTTCTGGAGGGGCTCTGCTGCAACAAGTGGCAGTCAGACTAGTGGCATCACTGTTGGTAGCATCTTGTTCTTTGGGATCAGAGGGAAAGTGGGAAGCAGGCTCTCAGGCTGGCCAAGAGATCAAAGCAAGTCAAATACTTAGACATGTTATGTGAATCCATTCTCCAATGGATAATCTATAGAAGGATTTCAGAAGATGGAAAGATGAAGGAAGTCCATTAACCACTGGAAAAAATAACAGTGAAACTTTCAGTATGAGCAGCAACCATGCAGGAAAGCGCCCTCCCAGTGCACAATCCTGGGAAACCTCCCAGTTGTTGAAGGCATGCTATTTCACAGAGTTGGAAGAAAAATGTCCTACCTCCTTCCACAGACCAGTCATGCCTGCACAAGAAGTACTGTAAACCCACTACAACAGCAGAAGCACTCTTTCACCCCTGTTGGCAGTGGCAATATTGAGTCAGAGTAGAAAAAAAGGCATAGCTCTGTTAAGGAACGTAACTTTGGGGTTTTCTTAAATCTTCATGGGATCTGAAAGGCTGCACTTGAGCCTTCCTGGGCTGACTGGGCAGCGTGTAAATGTGTTCTGCCGAGTGTGATCATAAGTACTGTCTCATGGCTTTGAAGCATCGGGCAGGTATTAATGCTGCTTCTTCAAAAAATGGGAATTAGTTGCATTGCTTAGTGAAAAACGTGTAGACAAGCTGTTTTATTTAGAGGCTGTAAACAGAAGCCATTAGACTCCCAATATGTGAGAGAGCTGGTGTGATTAGTCATATTGATGTGGTTTTGGTTGTAAGCAAGCTGTGACTCCTTCCAGCAGCCCTGTTTTGTGGCCATGTAATTGAAAGTAAAATTTATATAGCAGAGGGAGGGGACTCAGCTGAACAATTTTGCCCATACAATTAAGGGACTGGTTCTGATTTTAAAAAATAAGGCGTGCTTGGTAATTTATTCTCAGCTTAAAAAGCATGCATAATGCTGCTTGCCATTATTTGTTACTTCATTGCCGTTAGGCACCTGGGCAAAAACACTTCTTTCTGTATGTAAGTAGAGACACTGCTCCAAATGCCGGTCTTGCTGCCATTGCTAGATAACGCTGCTGAATAACTAAACATATCTGGTCAGTGCTAGACCTGTTCAGATGACCCTGCAGGTCAGCCCTGTGGTCTTTGCACGGGTGTAAACTAAGTGAAGACACAGAGTCCCGGGACAGAAAACCGGTGCATTTATAGCACACCTCCTTTTGGTTGTGGGATGTGTCAGCCTCTGTACAGTGCAGAAATCCCAAAATAATTTGCCCGGGTGCTAAATTACTGCGTTTCCCGACTGCAGCAAAGGTTTGCTCTGTCAGGGGAGAGCATCCCTCGCAGGCTCTGCGAGGAGTGAGCTGCTCGAGGGAGCCCTGCCTTACCCAGCAGGAGTAACAGCAAATGGGCTGCTCTTCAGCAAGGGCTTTTCTCAGAACAGCATCTTTGAGCTCAGACACCACAGCGCAGAATTCAGGGGTTTTTCCAAGGCAGCCTGAAGGGCACAGCTACTGCCAAATTACCTTTCTCTTTCTTTCTTTTTGTTTTTTTTTTTGTTTTGTTTTGTTTTTACTCTGTCCCCATTTCCCAGTTGAGCTCTTCCCGAAGTCTTCCGTGATGACACTGAAGTTGCAGTCAGTTAAGATCCTTTTCCCTGGCTGATGTTGGCTGCTGGCAGCCACGTGATTAGCGTGTGGTCGTCTGCCTCTGAGCTGCAAGGCTTCCCAGGCTGAAGTCGTGTGTGTTAGTGCCTGCTGGGTGCAGGCGATGAGCAGGGGGCTTCTTTGGGAGGGCACAGGCTCCTTCCCAGCACCTGCCGGTGCCCACTCCACGTGGCGGTCACAGCCATGCCCTCGGGCACACGTCCCTGTGCAAACCCTGCACGAGAAGCTGCGTGTCCCCAGTTGGAAGCAGGCTATCGACTGTGCAAGTGGACTTTTCACTCTGAGGGGACTGGGAGTGGTGGCATCTGTCCATGTCTCGGAGCCGGCTTGGAAGGCTGGTGATGTCTGCCTTAATGCGAGCTGCGAGCACCCTCATTTAAGTCACTGCCGCTGAGGTAAACGCATGGCCAGCTCTGCGTGGCTGAAGCAAGATCACTGCTTGAGAAGCATACAAGATGCTGATCAGAAAAAGCAATTTCTCAGAAACCGCTGTGAAAGCTCCTGAGCTCACGGTCACTAAAAATGACCCAGACTAGTCTGTAGTTACTTGTTTGTTTATACCAGGGAAGGAGAAATGCCTTCTTACAGCAGTGGTTGGTGAACTAAGCTATTCACTTCAGCTTCCTCATCAGGCAGCTTCAGGGGGGACAGCCCACAGCGCTTCAGGGATACATTTCCAAACACCAGCTCCTGTTAGCTGCATGGTTGCTGTTAACTAAAGTGTCAGCAAGACATGTGGCCAGCTGTATCTTCATTTTCTTGAGTGCTGTGTGTATCACAACAGGGTTTCCCTCATCGCTGAGACAGGCTCAAG